GAAATGTCGGTTATTCGAAGCTCCTCATTTCAGAAGCCTTCTGGTTAATCAAGCACTTGTGAGACCCTTGTCCTTTATTTGCTGAAACACCTTCAGCAAACCTTCTCTCTGATCGGCCCCCAGATGCTTGCATGTGGTTTGAGGGGCTTCCTCTGTACAGGTAACTCTGGAGCTATCCTCACCTCTGTCTTCACACCTTTGGTCGGTCGTCTTTTCTTCTTAAAACTTTTATCAAACCAAGCATGTGTCTCCTGACTCACAGTTCCTCCCCATACCATTCACTTTATCATCCTTTCAGTTATTTATTGCCCAATCTCTGTAGTTTCCGTGTCTAGCACATGCTCCTTTACATAAATGCTGTTTTATGTATGAGACAGCAGTCACAGAGTGGAAAAGTCATTATGAGAGAGAACAGAACCCCTCATGTCTACTCCCAGCTCCATCACTAGTAAACTGTATGACCGTGAGCAAGTGACTTAGCCTTTCTGAGCTTCTGTTGTTCAGTGAAAGTACTGAACTCTGAGCTTTCTTCTGTATGTACGCACCATCTCTTTACCAAAGGAGGGAACCACCTCAATTTATTTTTCTCCCTACACTGAGCCTATTTCCTGAAGCTACCTAGAGTACTCAGTCATTCAATAGATACTGACGCTTCCCCTCTTGATCTGGCTTGACTTTCCTCCTCCCATCACAGATGTACATGGGCCACATATCTAATCATGGCTGACCTTTGTTTTTGGTTAAGATTAGATTAAAAAAAAAAGTACAAACTGAGTGTCTCTCCAGTATTACCATTCCTTCCCATGAAATGGCACATCCTGTAGATTGGCCCTTCATATTTGACATTAAAACATTATTTCCATGTGTCTCTTGTATTTTACAGATTTTTGAGATAAATATAGCATTTCTGATTTTTTAAAATGCATTTTCCATACTCTATATATTATATACTATATAATATATATTATTATATATTTATATATAAGATATAAACTTAATGTATATTTTATTTTAATACTCTTTTTGGTAAATTTTAAATAGTTATTACTATATAATATATATTATAATATATTTATATATAAGATATAAACTTAATGTATATTTTATTTTAATACTCTTTTTGGTAAATTTTAAATAGTTATAACTGTAGAAATATAATTATGAGACAGAATTTTAATTATTTTAACTCAGCTTTTTCCATCATGATAACAGTGTTTCATCCATTTGATCTTATTTAGCATGTTTTATGAGTGATTAGAGATTTAAAATCATGTCTTTTTTTCCTTACCTGGAGAATAGGTGCTTTATACTGCTGTGTCCGTTTCTGCTGTATAGCAAAGTCAGTCAGCCATACATATACATGTATTCCCTCTTTTTTGAATTTCCTTCTCATTTAAGTCACCTCAGAGCATGGAGTAGAGTTCCCTGTGCTATACAGTAGGTTCTCATTGAACAGAGTAGTATGTATATGTCAAAAAATAAAATACAATCATGTCTTATGGTTACAGTGATATGAGAAAATATAGGTTTCAAACACTGCTTGATTCACTTTTATAGTTTGCCACTAGTTCGTAAAATCTTCAAAGTTTAATAAAACTACTTGTATTGATTCTGGTACCTCTGGGAATCATGCTTTGTGATTTAGGTGACAAAGAAAAAAATACATTTTTGATGCACCCACCCCTACTTCAGATGTCCTGACCTTCGACCACCATTTCTCAGATCTTCCCATACAAGATTTCAGCTAATAGTTTTCCCCTTTCCAGTTATCATAACTACTTTTACCCACAGAATATAGCACTCATACCAGGATGCTTCATTCCAGCCTCCAGTGATAGCATCTGGAGTAAAATGGATTCCCCCTGGTAGTTCAAGCGCCCTGCTTTTCTCATCTATGGAATGAAAGTAGTATATACACAAAATAGTTCCTCCTACACAGCATCATCAAATGAAATAAGGTAGTTATTAGAAAGCCCTTAGTAAATGTGATGCACCACCAGTTCACGGCCTGGAGTGGGGAAGGAGAAAGGAAAAAAAACCAAGTTCTCTACTTGTATCTGGGTAGCATCAAGGTTGTGGCTAAAAGTTCCTAAGAATGGTGATTCTCCTAATCCATAGGAAAAATATATTCCCTACACTCCTTTCCAGGGAATGGGACCCTTTGGAGAATGAGATTTTCTAAACTTTGCAAGGCTTTTCTGCTCACTTTAATGGTTGTTTATCTTTCTTCTCATCGCATTGCTACAAAGCTTTTCCATGGCTTTATTATTTTATGGTATGATCCAAGAATAGCCTGAAGAACTTATTCCCTTCATATTCCACCCGAACCTAGGAACACCATATCAATTTATCCACAAGGAAATAGCCATGGTCAAAACTCACATGTACCAAGGTGCATCCATTTTTCTTTTTTTGGTTGCTTTATACTAATATTTAAAAATATAAAAGGTATACAAGATAAGTTATATAAATTTATTTGCATACCCTGCACTTTGAAGACCAGGTCTTCGACTTTGCTTATTTCATCCATCTGACACAGATTTTACTTGAAACCTCATGATAACTGATCTATAGAGCTTGGGCCTGGTCCTGCCTACTGATCACCTCTTATAGACTCAGTCTCTGATGTCAGCATTACAATTGTAGCTTCAGCCTTCCATTTCCAGGCTACTTTTCCAGTGTTCTGTTCACACTCCTTGCAGAGTTAAATTGCTGCAAAGTTTTTCTCAATTTTGCAGTGACTTGTTTACCATATTTAGTGATATTTTCTTGGTTCTCTTTTAAAATTATCATTCATCTCTGAAATAACTCATCATTCCTCTTTTGAAATGTTTTTCTTTGACTGCTATGAAAGTTCCCTCAGTTTGTTTCCTGTCTGCTTCAGTAACTACTCTTTTTCTTGCTACCAGAATCAGTTGTGCTCCCTAATATTAGTATTTCTATGTGCATGTAGATGTTACTCCCCAATTCTTTTCTAGAAGCATTGACCTTTGTTGTTGTTTAGTTGCTGAGTCGTGTCCGATTCTTTGTGACCCCGTAAACTATAGCCCACCAGGCTCCTCTGTCCATGTGATTTCCCAGGCAGGAACACTGGAGTGGGTTGTCATTTCCTCCAGGGATCTTTCTGACCCAGAGGTCAAGCCCGCATCTCCTGCATCAGTATGTGGACTCTTTACCAGGGAGCCATCAGGGAAGACTACACTAACTATTATTTCTGTGTAAATAATGCCTATATTTATATCACCATCTTGGCCCTTTCTTAGACTCTTGTTCTACAGTTACACCCATGCCTTACCTTTCTGTATCGGAATGTCCCCCTGTTAACTCAAGAGTTAATGGAGGTAGACAACTCGAACATAATTTCACAGGTTGACACTGATCATACTAATCTTAATTTGAGAATTACTGTCAGGATGAATAAACAAAGTTGATTTACAGTTTTCCATAGGTCTATATCTGTCACATATCTAGAGTAGAGAGTTCTTTTAGAAATAAATTCACTATCATCACACTGGAAATTGTATGATCATTGTGATCACTTCCTAAATTTGCTATTGAAAAAATGTAAATCTACCTTTTAAAATTTTATCTTCTTTTAAAGATCTGTTTATAAGATAATTTATTGAGTATGAAACTTTTTCTACTTTGAAGAAGGAGAAAGTTAGGATATAAAAAGCTGAAAAGTACCTATGAGACAAGATCTGTTTTAAGTGTTCACATGTAATAACTCTTTGATCACTCAACAACCCGTTGATATATTGATAAGTACTCTTTCCCCCATTTTATGGATAAGGAAACTAAATAACAGAGAGATTAAGTAACTTGCCTCAAGGTCACATAGATAATCAGCTGCAAGCTGGAATTTGAATTCAAGAAGTTTGGTTCTAAAGCCATTATTCCAGATCTCATGTAAGATGCCTTTTTCATATAGAGATATTAATAGTTTGGCCAAAAAGTTCATTTGGGTTTTTTGTGCATTATTATGGAAAAGCCTGAAAGAACTTTTGGTTAATCCAACATAAAGGAAAAAAATTAAAAGTAATGTATAATCTCATTGGGCTTCACTGGTGGCTGAAGAATTGCTAAAGAATCCACCTACCAATGCAGGATATGCATTGGGTTCAGTCCCTGGGTTGGGAAGATCCCTTGGAGAAGGGAATGGTTACCCACTCCAGTATTCTTGCCTGGAGAATTCCATAGACAGAGGAACCTGGCAAGCATAGTCCATGGGGTCACAAAGAGTCATATATGACCGAGTGAAGTAATCTCATTACCAAACTCTATTATCATTTCAAAAAATACAAACATTATAAGAATAAAGTCAGATAGCTCAAACAGCGGAAGAATGTCCAAAGTGAAAAAAATGATATAAGCCAAGAAGAATATCCAAAATAAACATGAAATCCCCTCTTTCATTCTCCTTTAAGTCCATCTCACCCAAAGGAACCACTGTTAATAGTTCTTTGTGTTTGCTTCCATAAAAAAGTGTATGTTTACAAATATGTACCTATGTATTTTTTAATTTAACAAAAAGGATCATATTATGCATACTCCTGCACAATTTGGCCTTGCATTTATTTTTTTTTACTGATCTTGCCATAGCACATGTTGATGTATCTCATTATCTTTAACAGTTGTTTAAAATTACAGTGTATGGATGTTTTATAATGTTTTTAACTGTATGCTTTAGTTGTTTCAATTTTTTCCTCTTAAAACCAGTGTTGAATTACAGTGTCCCATATGTATATCTTGGTGAACTTTTTGTGACTATTTTTATAAGTTAAATTTTTGACACATACTTATTTTTAAATTATAGAATTATGGAATTGAAAGTAGTCTTCTAAGCACAGGCTATATCAAAGCCATTATATTGATATAAAAACAAAAGTTTTAAGATATTTATAAGAGGAGTAATAAAAATTCTTAATATTTCGATATCTACTAATCTTTTTATCAGCTTATGTGTTTTTATTTACGAGGCTTTTTCTGGTATTTCCTAGGGTGTTCGTCCTGTGGCTCAGGCTGGCAATAAACATGGTGAACTCAGTCCCTTAGCCCTGTTTGCTTTCTTTGTGAATCGCTGCAAAGAAAATCTTCATGTTGTAGTGGCCTTTAGCCCCATTGGAGATGCCTTTCGAAATCGCTTGAGGCAGTTCCCATCCCTCATCAATTGCTGTACCATTGACTGGTTTCAGGTTTGTAATTTGCAGTGTGTGTGTGTGTGTGTGTGTGTGTGAATTGCTCAGTTATATCCGACTCTTTGCAGCCCTGTTAGTGGTATCCCGCCAGGCTTCTCTGTCCATGGGATTCTCCAGGCAAGAATACTGGAGTGGGTTGCCATTCCCTTCTCCAGGGGCTCTTCCCAACCAAGGAATCAAACCTGAGTGTCCTGTATTGCAGGCAGATTCTTTACCATCTGGGCCATCAGAGATAACTAAATCTTTTGGACTCTTACAGAAATCTTACTCAACTTCTATTAATATGCATTTATCAAGTGTTTTTTGGTTACTCACTCTAATGGCAGCACCAGGGACTTGGAAGACTCCATGATCCCCAAAATGATCTCATATACTAGACTGGAAGACAAAAAAGGCAGCCAGCAAATGAGCAGTCAGTTACATAAAAGAGCCGTAGTCTCAGCCTGCAGTTTAACAGTGTCTCTCTGAAGCATGAAAATGAATTCATTACATAGAGGTGGTTTGTATAAGGACCAGTAGAATGTATCTTATATATATGTGTGTGTGTGTGTACATGTATACATATATATATACACACCCATATGTATATGTATAAAGATATATTTAGAAATATATATATCTTTATCTCTTTATACATATATTTATTATAAGGAGTTGGCTTACATCTTTACGGAGGCTGATGATTTTCAAGATTTGCAGTTGGCAAGCTGGAGACCCACGAGAGCTAATGGTGTCAGTCCAGTTTGAAGGCCAGCAGGCTTGAGACCTAGGAAAAGGTGTTCTGCTTGAGTTCAAAGGCAGGGAAAAACTAATGTCCTCACTCGAAGGCCATCATGCAGGAGGAATTCCCCCTTATCTGAGGAAGGTTCAGCCTTTTTGTCCTATTCAGGCCTTTAACTGATTGGATGAGGCCCACTTACATTAGGGAGAGCAATCTGCTTTATTCAGTCTATTCATTTAAATTTTGAACCCATCCAAAATGCACCTCACAGAAACAACTAGAATACTGTTAGACCAAATATATAGGCACACATAACATTAACCATCATAAGAAGATAGCACGTGCAGAGGGGCAGCAGTGGGGAGAGTGTGGCTCATTTGGGCAAATAGTTAAATAGTTTGGTGTGGCTGACTAGCAATGAGGGCAACAGGAGTTAAGCTGGAGCTTTGAGTGGGTGCCAGGCTATAAAGGAATGTGTAAATGTGCCTAGGAATTTGGTTTTATACCAAAGACATTGCAGGGCCATTAACATGTATTTAGCTAATCTACATTTTAGGAATAACCCAAAACTCTTGGAAGCTTTATGGTGGATGATTCGGATTCGGGCAAAACAAGAGACAGGAAGACTAGCTGGGTGACAGTTTCAGTCATGCCAGCAGCGAATGATACAGGCTATTACCTCATTTAAACAGGGCAAATCATCACTGCCTGTGTAAAACCATTCAGTATTTATGTTCTTGAGAAGGGTAGCTCATGGTACCTTCTATTTATTTGTTTTATGCCTAATGTATTGTGGACTATAGCTTGACCCTGGATAGTTTCTTTTAAAAATAATTTTCTAATACTAATGCATTTTATTCTCTTTCATCTTTATCAATTGTATATTTGAAAAACAGTAATTCTGTCCTTTTGAGGACTGCAGTGTGTTTCAGCTAGTGGATGTTTTAGAATTTATACAACAATAAAAGTCATGTGAAACATTTTTCCTTTATGCAAACTGTATCTTAATATTGCTTTCATTAAGTAGCCCCAAACCAAAACCATACAAACAAAGCCTGTCCAGTTAAAAGTTTTTCTTTTGTGAAATCTTATAAGTACAATTCTATTTCTGAATATGTTTCTTATAACCATGAGACTTCCTGTTCTGTTATATGTGATTCATACTTACTGGGGGAAATTTTAAGAAAGAAAGAACTAGGAGTTACAAATAGATAAGGGAAGTTAAATGGATAACAGAGAGGAACCGAGACTTTACAATGAAACAGTGGGGATACAGAAACTGTCAGCAGCACTGATGGCATTGTTTGAGGCCTGCGTCTTTTAAGGCCGGGAAGTGAGTGTGATCGACTATGTGTCACATAGTCGAGAAGTCACTGACTTTTTGGATAGATCTCTGTTCTCCAAAATAGGGTGTAAACTTACCAGAGGTGCCCGAAATAGTTCAGCAGATGAGGGTAGAATTGACTGAAATACTCACTTGTGTGTGAAATATCTCATGTGAATTGACATTGCTTCTGTGGTGGCTCAGGCGATAAATAATCTGCCTGCAATGCAGGACACCCAGGTTTGATCCCTGGGTTGGGAAGATCCCCTAGAGGAGGGAATGGCAACCCACTCCACAACTCTTGCCTGGAGAATTCTGTGGACAGAGGAGCCTGGCAGGCTATAGTCCATGGAGTTACAAAGAGTTGGACACAACTGAGAAGCTTGCACTTTTACTTCCCTTTCCCACTCAGTTTGTATGTCAGATGGCCATACGTCATAGATGGTATGCAAGGGACCCTCAGGGATTCTTGCAATGAACTGAAAATTGAAGATATACAATGCAGTTATAAGTGGACAGTAAAAAACTGTCTTAAAACTAGCAGGAGCTAGCTCAAGCTCTGTGTCAGCTACATCTTAAGACCAAAAATGATGACAATTTAACAAGATCTGGTGAGACATTGGTTAAAACCCTGGTGGCTCAGATGGTAAAGAGTCTACCTGCAGCGCGGGAGACCTGGGTTTGATCCCTATGTCAGGAACATCCCCTGGAGAAGGAAATGGCAGCCCACTTCAGTATCCTTGCCTGGAAAAGTCCATGAACAGAGGAGCTTGGCAGGCTACAGACCATGGAGCTGCAGAGTTGGACACGACTGAGTGACTTCACTTTCACTTGGAATATGGATTTGTATCAACTGTTTAAATAATAAAGTTTATTCCCAGGGTGTGTCATGACTTGCAATATTAGCTTATGATGTCGTGGTTACCTATCAACAGCCATTTTCTACCCACTCCATCTTTGTTGACAGAATTCTGATTTTGTTTGGGAAATTGCTACCCAAGTAGGCAAAGTCTAATAGGGATTCATTCCTGGTTGGCCTAAGTCAGCATTGGTGCTCTCACTCCTCTTGCTGTTGACTGTTTTACACATGAGCCTTTTCGTGACCTTTTCCTTACCAGTGGATCTGGATTTAAAGTCTGCCAGGGAGCTTTGGGGAGAAGCTTTGCAGAATAAAAAGAGTTACATGATCAGAAAATGGTTCTTATCTTGACATTTTACAAAAATTCATTTATGTTAATAACAAATCTTCAGAGGCCTTTTTTGGGGTTTAAAAATATATTAGTATAGTAATACATATGAATATAATTAATAAATATGTATATACTGGTAATGCATGCTTAACACTTTTTTTAAAATAACTAATGGAATATTTTATCAAAAAGCTTGATTTTTACTAGAGTAGAGGGCCAAACACTGAAAAAATTGATCTTAAAATGCATATTGTCTACTATAAAGGAAAAAAATTACAGGCATCTTGTTGAATCTAAATGGAATGAAGTTTGGGAATACTCTATTGAGCAAGTGAAGATTAAGTACTCATTTAACATAAATTATTTCATTGAGTAAATATTTGAAATATTTACCGACAAGAACTGTTTAAGCACTGACGGTAACAGCAGTGAGGCAAGAGTCCTTGCTTTTGTGGATTTTACATTTTAGTGGTGTGTCAGTGAGACAGACAGAAACAAATGAATAAATATTTGTCAAATATTGGTAAGTGCTAAGAAAAAATTCAAGATAAGGGAAAGAATAATGAGGGAAGGAATGCTGTTTTAGAAAGAGTGCTTTGGGCAGACCTAGCTGGTAAATTTGCATTTGCACAGAGATGTGAGAGAGTTGAACCACATGGAGATCTAGATTAGGAGGGTTCTAGTCAGAGGAACAGCAAATCCAAAGACGCAGGGCCAGAAGCACCCTTGGTGTATTCCAGGAAAAGCAAAGGAACCATCTCACGAGTACTGAAGAAAAGTGAATTTGTGGGGAAGAAAATCAAATGTTCAACTTTGGATGTTGTAACCAGTAGGAATTACGATGAGCTGCTGGTAACAGAAAGTGAAAGTTGCTCAGTCATGTCCAACTCTTTGTGACTCCATGGACTGTACAATCCATGGAGTTCTCCAGGCCAGAATACTGGAGTGGGTAGCCTTTCTCTTCTCCAGGGGATCTTCCCAACCCAGGGATTGAACCCAGGTCTCCCATACTGCAGGCGGAGTCTTTACCAGCTGAGCCACAAGGGAAGCCCACTAGTAACAGAAGCCTAAACTAAACACATAGGGGTTTTTTTCCTCTCTCATACAGAAGAAAAATCTGAAGACCAGAACTTTTGTGACTTAATAAAGTTATCAGAATCCCATATTCTTTCTTCTTTATTATCCTCAGCATGTAGTTTCCATCTTCAGAGTCATCATATGGCCTAATGTAGCTGCTAGAACTCCAACTTTCACATCTGTGTTCCAGGCAAGAAGTAGAATAATAGAAAGTAGGGCACAAAGACCCATACCAGCTCTGTGTAACTCTCCAGAGAGCTTTCTCTGATGTCCCCACCCAATAGATGCTCATATGTCATTATTCACTCTGAATTGCAAACAAGTCTAGGAAATGTAGTATTATAGCTGGGGATATTGCTATCTAGAATAAATTTGGAGTCTTTTTTTTTTTTGGCTTTTTATTTATTTTCATTTATTTTTATTAGTTGGAGGCTAATTACTTTACAATATTGTAGTGGGTTTTGTCACACACTGACATGAATCAGCCATGGATTTACATGTATTCCCCATCCCGATCCCCCCTCCCACCTCCCTCTCGACCCGATCCCTTTGGCTCTTCCCAGTGCACCAGGCCTGAGCACTTGTCTCATGCATCCAACCTGGGCTGGTGATCTGTTTCACCCTAGATATACATGTTTCGATGCTGTTCTCTTGAAACATCCC